TAGTTAGTAAAAGTTAACTAGTAGTTTTTAGCTAGATTAGCTACTTAAGCTATACTTATAATTAAGTAATCTAATTACTAATAAATATACTGCTAAAGGTTAACTTTAAATTAGGTAAAGGTATAGCTTTAAGTGCTATAAAAGTAAGTTTAGCTGTTAACATAAATTATTAATTAACTTTAAAGAGCTTACTTTAGCTAGAGCGTATTTTAATTCTAGAATTAAAAAGTAGTAGTTAGTTAGATATTAGTAGTTATTTTTAATTTTAATAAATTATTAGTAGTTTCTAAGTTTCTACTTTAGCGCCTTTTTATAACTCTTTTAAAAGTAATTTTAATTATAGAGGATAAGAAGTTTTAAACCTAAAGGCTTTAGTTAACTAAAAGTTAATAAGATCTAGTTTATAGATTAAATAGTTTAATATAACAGTGTGTAAGTATTATAACCTAAACTAAATTAGACATGTCTTAGAGCTTAGACATAGTTAAATAAATAATTAGTGTAATATTATATAAGGCTATTACTAGCAAAAGTAAGTTTTTTAATATAATGTAACAGCGTAGGCAAGACAATAGGTCTAAATGCAGTAGGAGTCTACTTAGAGGCATATAGAAGTGTGTAGGGACTCTAAACCTAGGAATGCTATTAACACCTATAGGCCTTATATAAAAGGATATTAAAAAACTACTAAGCTAGCTACAAGAGTAAGGTGCAACTAAATATATAAGAAAATAGAGGTACAGCAAAGAGCAGGGCAGAGTTAGGGTGTTACAATCCTTGCTTCGTGGAAGCACTCGGGTCAATGGTATTCCTGGGGGAAGGTAGGACGGACGGAAGGGGCCAACGGCGGGGTGTACAGTCCCACGTAAAGGCTATTAGGCTAATAGAGAGAGGTAGAATAACTAGATTATAGTTTGCCCTATGTGCAGCAGTATAGTAGCTAGGGTTAAACAGTTCTGTTAGACAGAGTTAGAGGTATATATAGTGTAAGATATATAAATAGTATTACAGCCCTTTAAAAGGCTAAATGCTACTTAGTTTATATAAAGAATAAACTAAACATTAAACACACTTTTTTAAAGTTGTTTAGTATAGAAACTATATATATATATAAAGAGTGCTAAGGTAAGTAGGATAAGTTTATATAAGCTTACTAAAAAAAGCTTTATAAGCTTTTTTAGACTTATTAGACTTATAGCTTGTTCTTCTATTAAATAACTCACTCTTCTATTATTACAGGTAGCTGCGCTGCCTCTGTGTCCTCTAACTAGCTTGTAAGTAAGCCCTGCTCTAACCTAACTAGATTATAGAGCACTATAGGTAGAGTTATACTAGTCTAACTATAGACTATAACACGCTGCCTCTTCTCTCTAGTAGCGTCCTTACTGCTCTGCTTACACAACTGCGTTAGTAAAAGCTTATTTATAAAGTTAGTGTTTATTTACTAAAAGGCTTTTCTAGCTTTTACTTTTTTTAAACTAAATAGCTTATTAAACTTATTTATCTTATTATTTTTATACTACTTTTTACTTTAATTTTTTTATTAAATAAAGATAAGACTTTATAGCACTTACTAGTTATTAAAGTTATTTTATGTGTTAACTTTATTATTAAATAAATATGTTAAGTGTGTAAAAAAAAGCTAGAGGTAAAAAATAGAGAGTGTTTTAAATAAAATTATATTTAAAAATTACTAGATTTACTAGAGGCCTAGTGTGTAAAGTACTTAAAAAAGGACTTTTTTTTCTTAGATAAAATAAAAGCCTTTAAGGCTAAAGTAAAAAGCTATTTTTTATAACTATTTTTAGTAAAAACTTATTTTTAAAGGCTGCTACTATCTAGTAATAATATAAATTTATTTATATATTATTTTATTATTTTTTAGCTAGATCTAGTATTAATTACTAATTTTTTATGTATATTTTATAAGTTTATTAACTAGTTTATTAATTCTTAAAAGTCTATAAGCTAGTTCTTTTATAGTGTAAAGTATAAGTTATAACTAAAATTAGCCTTATATAGTATTTCTTTTATTATAGTTAATTTTACTATGTTAATAGCTAACTATGCTATAAAAAGCTATTCTACTTAATTATTTTCAGTATAAAAGATATACTTTCTTAAATACTTTTCTACTTTAGTGTTTACTCTCTCTATTTAGCTGTCTATCTGTAGATAGTATACTGTAGATAGCTTGTGCGTTATTTCTAGGTGTTTTATAGCTGCTTTCTAAAACTTACTAGTAAATAATTTATCTCTGTTAAAAATAATAATTTTAAAGCATTTATGTACTAATATAATATTTTACTTAAGTTTATAAATAAACTTTTTAGCTATAATAGTCTTTTTTAATAGCTATATATATAAGTATTTAGTAGTCTTATTAAGGGCTACTATAATTATATTACACATTTTTTCTATTTCTAGTTCTTTAGATAAAGAAAGTTTTATAATAAAGTCTATTATAATTATTATTTATAGTTATTTTAAAGCTTTAATTAGCTAAAAGTATTTATAAGTCTTATATTTTTATAAGTTATTTTTATTATAAGTGTTGCATTCTTTAAGCACCTTAGTGCATAGTTACTTTACTTTTAGTATGTGTCTTAGTATAGCAGCCTGCAGTTTCTTCTAGAGAGTGCCTATACCTAGGTGTCTAAACATTAGAGATTTATAGTAACGTACTTCACAGGCGAGTTGCTCACACACCTAAGTTGCTTACTTTTGCTAAGACTCTACTACACTACTTTTTCTACACTAATGCATTCCTAACAACACTACTTAGATGTGTTAAAAGAATGTTAGATGTAGCTTACACTTTAAGCTTTTAAATAAAACGTAACACTTTTTAAGTAACATGCTGCAGCTATCTATAGAGTTCTTTAAAAGATAATAAGTAACTAACGCGCTAGATAACCTTCTTAAGCTAATTATATAGCTAACTTATAAAAGCTAAATAATAACAAGGAGCAGGTAATTATTTAGCACATACTTAAGCTAGATGCGTGAGGATTTCCCCTCTAGCTAGTAGCTGTGGCTAATATAGCTAATTCTTTACACGCTAAGTGTAATATAGGCTATGTTAGCATAAACTAGCTTAATATATTTATTAAGTGTTACTTAGAGCTTAAAGTAAAGTTTAAGTTTAATTAGTAAAGCACTTTTACTACCTTAATAATTAATAACTACACATGTAGCTTTTAGTTTAAAGAACACTACTAGTAGTATAAAGAAATACTTAGAGTAAGAACACCTAGCTAAATTAGATCTAGTTTAGTTTAAAAATAAAAGAAGTAATAGCAATATTTTCTACTTTAATTACTAATAAAGACTATTAGTCTATAAAGAGAGGGTAGTGTAACAATTCTTGTTTTATCTTAGGTTGCCTAGAACCTATCTAAAGAGTCCCTGTATTAGCTCTAACCCTAACTTAACCCTAACTTAACCTAGCTCTAACTCTACTCTATTCTCTACTGTTACCTCTATTCTCTTATGTATTTAGTTGCACCTCTTCTTTATAGCTAGCTTAGTAGTTTTTTAATATCCTTTATACAAAGCCTATAGGTATTAATAAGATTCCTAGGTTATTAAGTCCCCACGCACTTCTATATGCCTCTAAGTAGATTCCTACCGCATTCGAACCTATTGTCCTGCCTATGCTGTTACATTAGGCTTTTAAATAAAATGTAACACCCTTAAAATAATATACTATAGCTATGTATAGAGTTTTTTAAAAGATAATAAATAGCTTATACACTAGATAACTTTTATAAGCTAAATTCATAGCTAACTTATAAAAGCTAGGCAATAATAAAAAGCAGGTAATTATTAAGCTTATACTTAAGCTATATACGTAAGGATTTTCCTCTTAGCTAGTAGCTGTAGCTAATATAGCTAATTCTTTACACGCTAAGTGTAATCTAGGCTATGTTAGCATAAACTAGCCTAGTATATTTATAAAGTGTTATCTAAAGCTTAAAGTAAAGTTTAAGAAATAAGTATAACTAGAAAAGAGCTAGCCAAAAAAAAACCAGAGCAAATTAAAGCTAGACAAGCCGTAAAGAGAAAACCAAAACTAAGCATAAAAACTAGAAAAAAAACAAAAACAACCTTAAAAAAATAGACAATACAAAAAAAAAGATATTTAATAACTATACTTAAGGCTAAAACATTACTTTAAGCTTTACATAACACTTTACAAACATACTAGGCTAGTTTATGCTAACATAGCCTAGATTACACTTAGCGTGTAAAGAATTAGCTATATTAGCTACAGCTACTAGCTAAGAGGAAAATCCTTACGCATATAGCTTAAGCATAGGCTTAATAATTACTTACTTTTTATTATTACTTAGCTTTTATAAGTTAGCAATAGAATTAGCTTATAAAGGTTATTTAGTATGTAAGTTATTTATTATTTTTTAAAAGACCTTATATATAGCTGTAGCATGTTATTTTAAAAGTGTTACATTTTAATTAAAAGCTTAGAACATAAGCTGTATTTAATATTCTTTTAGCGCGTTTAAGTTATTAAAAATAAATTAGTGTAGAGAAAGTAGTTTAGTAGAGTTTTAGTAAAAGTAAGTAACTTAGATGTGTAAGCAACTTACCTGTTAAGTATGTTATAGATTATGCTCTAAGCTTTTAAATAAATATAATACTTTTTAAGTAATATACTAACGTACACTATAGGCAAGTTGCTTACACACCTAAGTTACTTACTTTTACTAAGACCTTACTAAACTACTTTTCTTACACTAATACATTTCTAATAACACTACTTAAATATGCTAAAATAATGTTAAATATAGTTTATACTTTAAGCTTTTAAATAAAATATAACACTTTAAAAGTAATATGCTATAGCTATATATAAAGTTTTTTTAAAAATAAATAAATAATGTACATTACAGGCAAGTTGCTTACACACCTAAGTTACTTACTTTTACTAAGACTCTACTAAACTACTTTTTCTACACTAATGCATTTTGTTACGGTCCCTAAGTGGACCATAAGCGAGTGTCTGCCAGCCGACGTATGGGGCGAAGGCGGCTGGTGGAACCCCCTTACCCATGAATAGGATTGCATAAGGATAAGTCACGTGACATCCCGCAACATCCGGAAAGGCCTGGATGGAGGCAGCGGCTTAGCAAAGTGCATGCGCTAAGTAAAGTGCATTTAAATCTCTCTTGTCTAAACATAGTGCTATGGTGTCGTTTTAAACATTTACCGTCTTCTTTTCATTAAATCCGTCGGCCTGGGCGAAATAGTATCCTCTCTGATTTGTTACCAGTCTTAGTGATCCTACATCTGCGCCTCGCTCAACCAAAAAATCGCAATTGAAGTGTGTATGACCAAACCCCCATAGTTTTACCTTCCCACTTTGGAAGCAGGGCTGATCCGACAAGTCCGTCGAGAAGGCACTCGAGATAGGACTAGCAGCGTGCTTCGGGTCGCTTGAGCGAGGGTCTCTTGATGGACTCCAGTGCGTGAGAATGATTATCTTAGAGTTGCCATGCTCGAGCGCAGCGACCTGGGCGTTCAGCCATTCAACATCTCGCTTGTGCGCCGCGTTGTGCATTTCCACATCCCAGCTCTCCGTCTGGAAGAAATCGTTCAAACCCATGCTAACAGCCATTTCGCTCCCAGGCGGTATGTGAGAGAAAAGACTGCAGCCTAAGATCGTGACATTAGTGTCTGGTAGTTTGAACGCAGTGCGATCAAGCAAGATGAAGTCTCCGAGCGCGCTATCATTTTCACACTGTATGGTCTTCTCAAATTCTCGCAATATTGCGAGAGCGGTGGGCCAGTCTGAAGAGTAGGATTCATGGTTCCCGGGCACGAAGAGTACCGTGCGGAATTGCTTGAGTTGGCGGGTGAGAAAGGCTAGGAAGTCGACTTTGTGAGGTGTGACGGTGCCAATGTCGCCGAGGAGGGCAAGGCGCGGTGCGCAAGGGACGATGGGGAAGATGTCGTATCCTTTTGGTGACTCGAGATGAAGATCTGAGAGGAGCTGGAGAGCCATGCGTCTTTGGTCTGGTGTGATATGGGGGTACTATGTATTATGTTTTTATGTGTATGTTGTTAATAGATAGGTAGATAATATTAGACGCGAATAGTGGGGCTAGCTAGCTCGCTTGTGTGGCCAGCTCGCTTGTCAAATACGTTAGTCGGATGCGTTGTTGCCATAGTCGGATGCGTCGGAGGCGTTGTTACCATGGTTGTATCCATCTTACGATGGTCTATGTTGCTAAGATTTACACATTTATTTCGCATATATATAGACTCCTATGAGCACTCCTCTAGCAATCCGTGCAGTTTAGTTTCTGTCGCACGTATCTCACGCGATATCATACCCATGTACTGCACTATTCACTCATTAGGCATAGCTTCTTTCTTGTACAGTATATAGTTAGCCTAGAGCTCTATTAAGCTTCTTAGACCTTATAATACACTTGTGCAATCTACTTTATTTTAATCTAAGTACCTTGTTAATTTGCTTACTATATAACCTCTTCTTAGCTTATGTAAGAGTTATAAGCCTAGAGTTGCGCTTCTAACTAGTATAATAGTTACTACTGTATATTTAGCTTTTGAATTTAGCTTAAGAGGCTCTGCAAACCTTAACACATATTAATTATAGATTGCTTACTAGCTAAGCCTAATTAACTAGATAATAACCTTCTGTTTATTTTAAAACATATTAATTATAGATTGTATACTAGCTAGGCTTAATTAACTAAATGATAACCTTTTTATCTACTAAACTAAAACTACTTATTAATAGAAGACTTGCTTAATTTATGTAAGCAACTCTCTACTTTATTAACATATATAAAGATAACTTTAGCTATTAATGTCTTTATACATGTTACTAAAAAGAGTAACTAGCAGCCTTAGTTTAGTTGCATTAAGACATAAGTAACTAGAGAACATACTATTACAATCCTTACTTGTGATAGCACAAGTACGCGGGCCTAGAAGGGGTACAACAGGAGAGAGCGCGTTGTTACTAGGTGTACTGTAACAGCACAGGCAAGACAATAGGTCTAAATGCGGTGGGAATCCACTTAGAGGCATATAGAAGTGCGTGGGGACTTAGAACCTAGGAATTTCTATTAACGCCTATAGGCTTTGTATAAAGGATATTAGAAAACTACTAAGCTAGCTACAGGGGCAAGGTGCGACTAAATACATAAGGGAATAGGGGTACAGCAGGGGGCAGGGCAGAGTTAGGGCCAGGTTGAGTCAGGGTCGGAGCCGATACGGGGACCCTTCGGATAGGTTCTGGGCGACCCGAGATGGAACGATTCATGAGAATTGTTACATGTACAGCCTAGTTAATAACGCGGATAGTGTGGTAGAGCAGAGTAGTAAGAGAGGCCTAATTGTGGTTTGCCTTTAGACAGCAGTATAAAGCGCTAAGTTAAACAATTCTGTTAAACAGAAGTAGAGGTATATATAGTGTAAGATATACAATTAGTATTACAGCTCTTTATAAAGCTAAAATGCTACTTAGTCTATATAAAAAATAAACTAAATATTAATTACACTTTTTTAAAGTTAATCTTTCTCTAGTTTATATAGTAACTAGTAGTTTCTAAAATTATGCTGTAGCTGCCTAAGTATGCAAGAGCGTGCAGCACTCTAGTGCTGCCTCTTGTAGGCTGTTGCACGTTTTCCTCTACATCTCTATTAGACAAGGCATTTGCTTAGTAGTTAGTTTATCTACATTAGGCTCTATTTATTTAGGCTTATTACTTTTTTTTATTTTAATATAAACAAGTTCTATTCTTATTTATTAAGAGAGTAGGGCACTTTAATAAGGTCTACAGTAGTCTATCTATAAACTACATAGTGTAGTAGAGATGTAACACGCAGGCCTTCTTCTTTAGTAGTGTTCTTACTACTCTGCCTATACTACTATAAGTGTTAGAATATCTTTATTACTTATAAGTTTTCTTTTATAAACACTTTTTATAAGCTTATTTTTTTTAAATTTTTAACTATAGCTTACTAGCTATGTTATGTTTATTATTTCTATACTACTATATATTTTAATTCTTTTTAGTAGATAAAAAAATATTTTTATAGTTTGTATTACTTCTTTAGCTTCTTTTATGTTTTAACTTTATTATTAAATACATGTCTTAGGTGTTTTTTAAAAAAAATTGTTATAACACCTTTGTTTTAAACACTGCTTAAAAAAGGCTTAAAAAAAGCCTTAGATTGTACATAAAGTAAAAAGTGCCTAGGTGTCACGATTGTGCACGAGTAAGGTTATAGAGCTTTACAGAGGTCTAGTTCAATTACTACGTGAGGTATTATAGTAGGTACAAGACGTTGTGTGAAGAATAGGAAGGTTTAGAAGGAAATTAGTAATTAAATACTTAGCTTAAAAGTCTAAGCGCTTTAAGTATAAATTAAGCCTGTTCTAGGTTTAGTTAGTGTTAAAGTAGTTTATACTTAAGTTTATGTCTATATTATGTTATATTTATGTTAAATGTGCACTAATAATACTCTAGTACATGTCTAATATAGTTATGTCTAGGATCTAGGGAGGATACTGTAACAGTACCCCCCCTCTTATTAGGAAGGGAATCCTTTACATTAGTAGTTCTAGCATTAGGTTATCTTTATTAGAGTATAGGTTTAGTTTAGATAAGTATTAGGCATAGAATTAGGTTACTACAGAGTTTTCTTACAGGGCTTCTGCAGGTTCTTATAACAGTTTGTTGTATCTAGTCTATTTTATAAAGTATTTATAAGTATGTTTTTTTTTATTAAACTAGATCTATTTAATGTCTTTTACAACATATTCTAGTTTATTATTTATAATAATAAGTTTAGGTAGCAGGTTTAGCTATTTAGGTAGATAGTTAGATTTAGAGGCTACTTAGCGCAGCAATAATACATAGAACACAGGGTGTATCTTTATGCTGTTAGGTAGGATTAATTAGTAAGCATATAATAAAACTATATAAGCTACTGTAAAGAGGCTAAGGTTCTTTTAATTAAGTTTCTTTAATTATTAGTTTATTTAAATATTTCTAGTGTCTAGCTAGACCTTCTTGCTAGCTGCATACGCAGGGGCAGAGGTTTAGAATTAGTTTATGTACTTTTATTAAAAAGCTTAAGCCTATGTAAGCTTTTTATAAATATATTTAAATATATTTTAAATTTTATTAATAAGTCTATTTATATCTATTACTTATATAAATTAATAAGTTAGTTAGAAGGTATTTATAAGTAGTTTAAATTTTATTTAGGGGTAGTATCTGTAGTTTACTAAAAACAGGGATACTTATGTTAATTTAGATGTTGTGTTATTAGCTTTAAACTATGCTATAGCTAACTATTTTACCTAGTTATTCTGCTAGTAGTTTATGTACGCTTATAAGACTTATTTTATTATAGTGTTTATATTCTTAGTCTAGCTATTAGTCTCTAGGTAAAAAGCTGTAGATAGATAGGGGATAATTTAGAGCTGTTTACAGAGTTTGTTCTAGAAGGCTAAGACAAACTGTGTACCTCTGTCTAATATAATTATGTTAGGTAGGCTATAGTAAACTTATACATATTAGTAGAATAACTAGGCTATATTAGGGGCAGTTATAAAAGAACATAGTATTAAGTGTTAATACTTAGTTAAGTAATTAATAACTACTATAATATTTATATACCCTTTAGATAAAAGTAGGTCTATAATAAAATTAATTAATATGTCTTTTTAAGCTTATTTAAGAATTAGAAGTAGTTTAAGCAGGCTATTATACTTTTCTTAAAAGGCCTTTACTTTACAGCAAGTATAGCAACATAATACATATTAGCGTACAGTATAGAACATGCAGGGCTAGTAGTACTCTCTCTGTAGTAGGTTAAGAGTCTTTCCTCTGCCTAGGTGTCCTCTAACAGGCAAGTTATGTATAATTTAAAGTAGTTTAATTTTTAGTTTATTAGAATTAAAAATTATAAGTTAGTTATAATAATATAGCTTACTATTTTAGTTTTTATAGTTAGCTAGTGTTACCTTCTTTAACTAACTAGCGCTGTTTTAAAGTAGGTCTAAAGTTTTTTAGATAAATTTATTATTTAAATACTTATTAGTAATAATTTAATTAATTATCTAATTTATTTTATTTAAGTTAAGGTCTAAAAATAGCTTAAGTTAAAGTAAAGTTTAGTGTTAAGCCTTTTATGCTTCTTTTTAAGTAGGGATGTTTTAGAATTACTTTGTAAAGGCATCTAGTTTCCCTCTATCTTAACTAGAATAATAAGTAATCTTAAAATTAAAATAGGATAGGTATTTAGACTAACAGGCTTATTAGTAGCTAAGTTATTTTATAGTTGCAAAGTACTATAAGTTTTTATAGTTAGATAGGACCTATATTAGATGCGCTGCACCTTCTAGTTTAGGTTGCTATTATTTAAAGTAGTGTACTATAGCAAGTAATTTCTTATTATAGATCTTATAATTACTTTCTGCAGAACTTATTCTTTTTAAGAAGTATGTAATAGGCCTAATAGTCCTGTCTAGCTTAGTCTAGAAGAGAACTCCTACTACTACATAGTCTAAGGCATTAGCTTCTACAAGTATTAGTAGTTTAGAGTTAAAGTAGTAGAGTATTAAAGCTTTAGTAAAGGCTTTTTTTAGCTAGTTAAAGAACTATTAGTAATTTAAGTTAAAGTTAAATTAAACTTTTTTCTTAGTAAGTATAATTATAAGGCTTACTAGCTGTAAAAAGTTGTTAATAAATTATTAGTAAAAGTTAGTAAATTTTATAAAAGCTTAAACATCTTTTATGTCCTTTAAGTATTGCTAATCTAGCATAGTCTAAACCTTAATAAGGTCTATTTAGATGCTATCTATAGAGATTACATATTCTAAATACATAACTTTTAATTAGTAGAACTTGCATTTGTCTATGTTAAGTTGCAGACCTACTTTTTCTATAGCCTTTAGCACTAAGTGTACATGCTGTTTGTGCTCTAAAAGGCTATTACTATAGATTAGAATATTGTTAATATACATAGTGCAGAACATGTTTAGGTAGGGTTAGAGTAAGTTGTTTATAAAATGTTAAAAAGTACTAGGCGTGTTAGCTAAGCTAAAGGGCATTACTAAGTACTTAAATAGTCTATATTAGGTCTAAAACACTATTAGCTACTTATTACCTTTTACTATTCTTAGCTTATTAAAAGCAGTAATAATATCTAACTTTATAAAATACTTTACTTTACTTAGTTAGCTTAAAGTTTCTTATAAAAAAGAAATTAAGTATTAGTTTTTAATAGTAATAGTATTTAGTTCTTAGTAGTTAACATAGAATTAAAGCCTACTTCTAGGTTTTTTTATAAAT